AGAGATTAGTATAGATGTCCCTTTGGACTTTGTGGGGGACGTCGCGTGGTATTGGTGTGGGTAGTCCGAAGTCGTCGTGGGATATAACCGTCAGTTCTGTAGTGTGTCTCTTGGAGACAGATAACGTCCGCATCTGTCCTCTTGAGTTCTCTATATAGCTGGTGTCTCTTAACCGGTAGGTTTAACCCTCTTACATTGAGAGAGAAAATTTTCATGGGGGTTTATACCCAATGGCTTTTATAAGGGACATCCGTGGAATTAAAGACCAGTGCGGGGGGTTCGCTCGTCCCAGCAGCATCAAGTCGAGCGACCTTCCCTGAAGTGAGGGTAGGAATCGGGCATAATTCACTCGCTGGGTTAGGGATGGGTAGGTGGGCTGGGGTACCTTTGCAGGGACTGAGGCCCAGTGTGTTGGATCAGCTGTGTGGACTCCCTGTAGGTATTGGGGGCTGGACATGGGGTGGCAAGTCTCCACGAGACCGGGGTGGGGGGTGGGACAAGGTAATAACTGGGAAAACATATAAAACATATACACAATAAACAGGTGTGCCATTCTCGGCCTAGGTACTCCTGGTACCTGTGGAGGGGGAAGTCCGAACTTCCTTCCTGTGGGGTGTGGACCCCGAGTCGACCCACTCTATGGTTTGCTAAGTGGTCTGTGAGTATTGGCGCTTAGCCGGGTATTAATGCCCCCTGTATGGTACAGTGAAGCATTGTGGGACCTGCATACCCACATAGGTATAAATGCCTGTATATAAACGCATACAATTAAAGTATATAGATATATAATAATTTTTATTTATTTATTTATTTATTTATTTTTCTCCTCAATTTCTACACATGCTTAACATGTCTAGGTATGACATTAACATTCAACATAGGTTATAACAATTATACGATACCCCCAGCTGACTTCATGGTCCAGTTATCAGGACCGGCCACACAACCAGCTCCTGCGGACGCTCGTATATCTGAGTTAGTTGTGGTGTAGTCTTTTATGTCAGTCTCTTGGACTTTCTCCAGTCTTTGGAGGCGGTTTGTGTCCTCTTTGGGCTTCGTTGCTGGTTTGGTTCAGTGAGACCCCATCTTTGTAGCAGTAGGGCTCCTTCTTCTGGCGTGTTGATAGCTGACACTTTCCCTCCTCTGGACACCAGGATCTTCACCGGGTATCCCCAGCGATATGGCAGCTTGTGGCGTCGGAGCTGTTCTGTGACTTCTCTAAATTCTCTCCTTCGTTTCAACGTGTATGTTGATATGTCTGCAAACACTAACAGTCCCCCATGCTGTTCAGGAAGCGTCTTCTTCGCTCTGCTTGCTTGTAGCACTAATTCTTTCACATGGTAGTAGTGCATTCTGATGAGGATGTCTCGTGGGGTGTCTGGAGGTAGAAAACTGGGTTTGGCGGTTCGATGGTACCTGTCCATGAGCAGCAGGTCTAGCGGTATGTCTGGCGCCAGCGCTTTCAGCAGATTTGTCAGATAGGCCGCCAGCTCTGCGGGTCCCACCTCCTCGCTCACTCCGCGAATTCGCAGGTTGTTGCGGCGAGCTCTGTCCTCAATGTCTGCCAGCTTTATCTCATACTGCTGCATACGGTTTTGTATCCCTGCCATTTCTTCTTCCATCCCCCTGCGTGCCTCCTCTAGCTCTGCCACTTTAACTTCAGTCCCAGCAGTTCTCACCTCCAGTTCTTTTAGGTCATCATGTAGTGCTCCAATTGTGGATTTGAAGCTATTCTCCAATCTTGCAGACATTTGTTCTAGCATTGTCTGCATCACCTCTTGTGTGAGGGGGCCAGCTGCCACTGTGTCTGTGTGCAGTGATTCACCATCCTCCTCGGCGCCATCTTGGCCCTCATCCTGCATCAAGGCCTGTCTCCCCTGGTGTGTCCGTGCGGCAAAAAATGCACTCCGGTCCGTTTTTTCCGCCTGCCTTTTCCCCTTGCTTTGCGACATGCTCGTTGGGGTATATGGTGCCCCGTTTTTTCGTGGCTAGCCGCCAAATTACTCCTCTGTGGGTGCCGTCGGAGCGGAGCGCTCAGCACATGCGACCGCTCAGTACCGCCGCCAGGACACGCCCCCCACAAGTCGCCTTCTTGATGAACTTACCTGTATCCTCGAGATCCTAGTTTCCTGGCTTGCTATCCATTGTGTAGTCATTGTTCCTGCTTACCTGAACTCTCTTTGATTATTTTAAATATAATATATAGGGTGAATATTATATTATATTTACATTGATTCAAGATTTGAGGACATGTCTCGGTGTTCTTAGTGTCCTAGTGACATGGGGAACCTGGGAGACATGGGGACATAGACACTAGGAGACACTGGGAGACACGGAGACATAGACACTAGGGAACACTGAGAGACATGGGGATACTGGGGGAAACAGGGAGATATTGGGGTACTGGGCAAGATGGAGACAAAAGAGGACACTGGGAGATATGGGGCATTGAGACACTGTGATACAAAGGGACACTGCGATACATTGGGTCACTGGGAAACCTGGGGACATGAAACTAGGGGACACTGGGAGACTAGGGGACTCTGGGAGAACATGGAGCACTGAGACACTGTGATACATAGGGACACTGTGAGACCTGGGGTAATCGACACATGGGGACACGGAGTCATGAGGGCACTGGGAGACATGGAGACACTTGGGGACAGGGAGACACTGGGAGCAATCCATCTATACAGCAGAATCAAACTGTAAGTAGTTTTTTGGTGATTTTATAGCATTTTCTCTTGTCACTCCTAGTGATTTATATTATGTGATGTCACCCATACATATTCTATTATGCAAATTAGTAAGGCTGGTATGTTTTTCTAAGAAAGGTGGCAACCCTGACTAGTTTTCACATACTCTTGCTTAAGTATGGAAACTTAATAGGGATGTATGGGAACAAAACTTGTGTGGACTGGCTGACAATGAATATAGTTAAGGTAATGCTGACTTTGGTCTCTCTAACACTGTGGCATGTTCCCTTTCTTCTACACTCACTACATACAGCTTTTCTCTGTCCCAGACTATATACCAGGAGCTTCTGCCTGCTAGTAAGAAGGTAAGGAGACAAGTGGACCAGCGAGTGCTGGGGGACAGTCCTTAGAAAGCGTTGAGCGAGTGCATCATTAGACACATTTATGCCAAGCTCAGGGTGCTGTCTGCATAGTATGACCTTAGTTGGCCAGCTTGCATGATTGGCAGGCAGCCTGACATGCATTTATGCCAGACTGGCCTTCCAATTCTTTGGGCAGACATGCCCCCTTTTTGGGCATGTTTGCCCCTTTTGGCAGGTTACTTGATTTGTGTCAATGGCACACCCTTTTACTATGCCCATTGACTTATTGTTTCACTGGACACTGCTGTTAGGGCTTATGAATTTACTTGAAAGATGAAAACATAAATTAGAGAGAGATTAGCATAGGGTATGTGTTTTCTTATATCTGCTGTTTTCTTTCTCTCCAGCACCATCTCCATCTCCATCAGATACATGACGCTTGGGAGTGCTTTAGTGTTTTTGGTCGATAATATTCTGTAACTAGGCCCATCATAATTGTCAGCACCAGACCCACTGTGCTCTTAATCTGGCCCTGCCTGGAGGGCAAGGACGTTAACCTTGTTTTGCTTCCAATTGCCTCCCAGGATGTAATTGAGAATAGACTCTATGCATCTGGGGATATTTCAGTGGTTCTAAAAGCAAGAGACCCGAGGCTAAATAAAAAGTTGTCTATACCACATTAGTATTGGCCTTTGGCATTTATAGGGACGTGTTGTGCTCTGTTTACCCTGATAGAAGGGAGGACCTGAACGTGTATTTGCACAAGCTGGTGGATCTGGGGCACAAGTAAGGAGGTATGGTCTATCATGATTACTTTCATTAATTTTCGGCAAAAGTCTCTGCAGCTCTGATTCAATTCAACTTAAGTACAGATTGGAGTAAACTGTATACTGAGTTATTCTACAGACACTTTGCAGGCCTCAGGACACCAGCTTGTGCAGTCTGCTCGTCCATTTCACATTCGACTAACATATGCCCTAGCACGGCTGAAGTTTCTCAGGGTCATTCAGTCCCATACCCTACCTCTAGACCTGATAAGGTCATTAAGGACAAGCTGGGAAGGGACATAGTATTTCTTGTCATGTCCTAGATATGTAATAATATCGCTGGCATGTGTGGTTTAGCTCTTGTTGACTATTAAGTTTGCTCCTATTGTTTCAGGGCTCATGCAAAGTCCATGTGCACAAATAAAATGTTCGCTAAACCTTACCTCACATGTATAAATGTTATGTGTTTGGCTGAACTGCTACGTTATCACCCCTCACAACACTTGGTAAGTTTTCTCACTGATGGTGATTTCACACTGGCATTATACACATGCCATCTGGTATGTTGGAATGCACAAACTTGTAGACAGCGCTAGCAGATCCAGAGACAATTGACAAATTGATCAAGATTGAATTAGAATAGGGATTTGTTTTGAGGCCTTTTAGGTCCCTACCATTTACATCTTGGAGAACGAATCCTATTGGGGTGGCCACCGGCAAATCTTCTCATAAGCACAGATTATTCATAAATCTATCAGCCCCACATTCCACCTCCGTACCTAGTGTAAATTGTCTGATACCCTCAGATGAATTCTCCCTACAATCAGCTGGCATAGAAGCTTGGCTCAGTAAAACAGATATTGTAAATGTGTTTAAACTACTTCCCATTCACCCTTCACTTTGGCATTTGCACGGCATTAAGTGGCGGGGTTTATATTATTTTATTTCCCGACTCACGTTCGGGTCCAAAAGCAGTCCTAAGATATTTGATATTTTTGTAGAAACCCTATGTTGATTGCTACTTAATGAGTGCAGATGCCCGACTGTCATTCATTACCTGGACAATTTTTTCACAATTGAAGACAACTCTTAGCCCCCACGCAGTCTCACAGCAGCAATCAGTCTTTTTGAAGCCTTGGGTGTACCAGTCCACCCCAAAAAACAGAAGGACGAGACACGGTTATACATATCCTGGATATTCAATTAGATTCTGTTGCTATGCAGTCCTGTCTTCCTCATAACAAGATTGAGCACATCTTGTCAAGTATGGACTTATACTTGTTATTGGGTTCTTGCAACCGCAAAGAATTACAGTCTCTGCTTGGTTCGCTCAATTTTGCCTTGAGGATCATCCCACAAGGTAAGTCTTTTATTTCACAACTTCTCAGTTTGTTCCCTGACCATCCTTCAGACAATAGCCGCATCACCCTAGACCCACACATGACATGTGACTTGCTGATGTGGTTCACTTTCCTTACTACATGGAATAGGAAGTCCATGTTTATTCCTCCAATTTCTGACAATTCCCCGAACCTCTGGACAGATGCGGCTTTGGGGTTCCATGTCCCGGGGTTACTAATATGTCTGCTGATCACATGTCTTGTTTCCGCTTGCAGGCTTTTCACACGACTCTACCTACCGCTTCCTGTCTGGCTACTCCTGCCCCTTCGTTCCAAGACATACTAATGGATTAAATGTTTTGTTGTCACATGCACAGAATCTCAGCCATCTTGCACTCTTTGTTAACACTAGGAAATCATATGACAGCTCTGGCAAAACGATGTGGTCTGTGGACGTTCTCCTCGTTTAGCACCAACCTTGCCACCTACAGGGATCGGATGATCGGAGAAATGGGATCACAGAAGGTGAAAGGCTCGATTACACGCTGACAGACACCATTTGCCTTGTGCAATACTCCCCAAGCGACCTGTTTAAGAAATATGCTCATTTTAGTGTTTATTTATCATGTTTTCCTCATTCTACTCTAAATATATGGGTAATATAGGGGAGAGCATTGAGGGCTAAATTCAGTGGTTTAACTCGTTATCCTAGATATGTTTAATTTTGTGCTAGTTATGATCTTTAGCAATAGCTAGCAAGCGACATGAGTCTAACCTATGAGATATTATTTTAGGAATACTAGCCTATCTGTATGTCTAGCTACTTTTCTCCGTAGACAAGCTAACCACAACCTACTGCTTAGACATGCATGATCATGTCTACACTTTGCTTCGTAACTCTCTCTTAAAAGTCAACCCAGACGTATACTGCTTAGCCTGTACTAATTATACAAAAAATTGGCATGTTTTTCTCAATACCCCAATTGTTATGTGGGACGATTAGCATGAGGACTGCTGTTAGGGCGCCTCAAGCGTGTTTGTAATGTCATTATGCATAGCAAAAATACAAAAAAATAAATAAAAGAAGAGTGGACCAAATATAGAAAGGTGGGGAACTGCCATGACATATCCTCACGTCTTTGTTTCATTCGGGCTCAAGCCCTAAGTGTTTCTTATACCTAGCAATGCCGCAGAGAACACAATTCTTGTTTTTTACAAATAAACTTTTTTTTCTTTAATTGCATTAAAGGCAAGGCCAATGATTTATTTCATGTATGAAACTTTCTTTAGGGCAGTAAAACAGATTATACAAAATGTATGTATGTGTGTATATATATGTGTTTATTGTTAAAGGTTGGTATCTTCACTTTCTGCACTGTGAATTGATTGTTATATTAGTACTAAATAATGCACTTCAGTCCGTGTTTATATACCTCACTGTTTCTTTTTCCTTGCGCTCTATATATTGTTAAAAAAAGTCCTCTTCAACAAAATAATTTAAAAATGAGATATGTGAACACCATATGTATGCATGTACTGTGCATACATATGATTCCACTTAACATCACTCTAAACCAATTTAGAGAAAACACAGAATCCTGTTTAGATCATGGAGTTTCTGCTAGTGACTGCAGCACACGTAGGTGGACTTTGGTTTGTGGTATTTGGCATTATTAATGTACATTTTATAACTTTCCTGCATTAACAACAAACCACCAAAAGAGAACCAAAAACCACAAGCCATCGATTATTTATGTAGAGCATGCAGATGCGGACTATAAAAATACAGTATTGTGTAGTAAACTGTAAATGATACACAATGTGGCCTCAAGGTGATTTCAAAGCTACAGGCCCTTGACTCTTAGGGTTGTGTATGACCCTTGGTAGGTTAATAAATAGCTTATATCCCTCTTTAAATGTTAACACATTTATTTCCCTCTATTCTAATCTCTTTCAAACCATACACAATCTATCCTCTCTCATAAAATCCAGTCCTAATTGGACCTTCATTCCATGATATTTATTGCATGAATTTAACACTGTAATGTTGATAGCTGTATTCGTAGATACATACATATTTTTGCGTTTCTATTCTTAACATTCCAAATCTTACCTCCGGTTAAAAACTTTATGACTCGGCTGTAAAAATTTTCACTCTTGAATAAATAAAATAATGTGCATGACATATTTGTAGTGGTTGGAGTTAAAATAAAGTGGCTGTATTTTAATTTATATTTGACATTACTATGATGAGCCGCTGTTCATCCAGTCTATAATATCTAATTGAATGTTGTGTTTGGTATTTGAAAATGATATAAAGACCCATGCTTACACCTAAATATGAACCCAGTTCCTGCAAATATAATTATGTCATAAATGAGGCAATAAATGTTCTCATCAGTAATGTAAACGCTCTCAGTATATACACACACACACCAATATAAAACTTTCATAATCATCGCCCTTTGCAAAGGCAACAAAAATGTGTGGTGTACACAGAGGGAAGGGTGAAGATAGCAGGAAGACTGTCCTCGTTGATGCAGGGAATATGATATTATTAGTATTTATATAGCAACAACATATTTCACAGCATTTTAAAATTATAGAAAGGGGAAGAATTGAAGAAAGAGTTTACAATCTATGAGGATTTCAGTTAGGGACTCAAAACTGGGCTCACAATTCTCTGGCGGTGATTTGACCACTGTTCAAACCTGCTGTAGTGGAGCCCTGTTTGAATCCATGAAGCATGATTCCTTCTCTGTGCACAGTTTCTCTGGTAGAGACTCAACTGTTTGCACTGATGGCACTGTACCTGGCTTTCCTGTTGGAAGCAAGATGGTGGGAGATCTAAGGTACCTGGGTTTCTGGGTTGTGCCCCTGGTCCCAGAGGGGTTAATGCTGGTTGAGTAAAGATCTTGGGCTGGGCCAGCCGGCTCTAGGTACTCATCTGCCTGCCTCGCTGCTTCTGTGATGATTGTGTGGGTTACGGTCCTGCACCCACTTTTGTATCTCTGAAGCCAATCCATTGAAAAATTGCTCCACGAGCACCATCTGCAAAAGTCCTTCTATGGTGCTCACTTGGTGTGCTTGGATCCATCGCAGGGCGGCTCTGTGTAGCCGGAATGCCCACTCGGCATGAGAGTCTTTCTCAGCTTTCCTGAGTTCTGTGAACTGCCTGCGGTATGCCTCTGGAGTAATGGCATACCTGGCTAATATAATGGCTTTGACCCGAACATAGTCCCATATTTCCTCGTCTGGGACTGTTCGGTAGGCTTCGGCTGCTCTTCCCGACAGTCGGCTAGCCAGAAGTGGGACCCAATCTTCCAGAATGATCTTATGCAATGTACATTGTCTTTCAAAGTCTTAGAGGAAGGCAATATCTTACTCTGCTTCCACACAGTTTTTAAGTGCTCCATAGGGTATTTTGTGCTTACCCTCTTGCGCTATAGTTAATGTCGGTGTCCTTTTGGGAGTTTGTCATTTGCTCCTTTTCAACACGAAATCATGGACTTTTGACATGGTTTGTGCAAGAATCTCTGTCGACGTGTTCTCACCATAGAAAGACAAACAAAACTGTAATTCCCTTTGAAATTTGTTTCTTTCCTGTTCGCGCTGATCCGAAGCGCCGTTGGTTCGGTATTCCGCCATTAGTTCAGCAATGAGGGTGGCCTTCCTCTTATTCCTTGCTGCTATCCATCAACTGTGGCTTTTGTTCCTCTGTGAGCTTTTGATCCCGACGCTGTCAACCAATGTAGCAGAGCCCTAGTCCTATCAGGGACTGTCTCTCTGCTGGGTCACCCAAGAGTAAAATCAGGAACAAGAAAACACCAAGTAGATATCCCACCTCCTCCCCAGCAACTGTACGACACACAGTTCTGGGAGTACAACTGGTTTTATTACTGCCACACATGGCTTTTATACATTGCCCGTAGCATAGGATTTCTTAGTCACAATTACTTTTCTTCCCAGGATCCTCTGTGCCTGAGAGATAACTGCATGAGTAAAAACTATAACTCAATTATCTCTCAGGTACAGAAATATCTACAATATTTAAAAACATCCAAAAATACATTTTAATAACTTTAGATCCCCATGAAAATCACCTCACCAAATCACGGAGTGCATGGAGGGAGGGAAAGGATATCAAGCTAAGTGCTTGCTCCTGACAGACGTCATTTTGACACAGAATTGACACTAGGCAGTCCAGAACTCTGTCAAGTCATATGTGCCAGGGATGCAACCAGCCCTCAGTGCAAGAGTACAATTATCTCGGAAATTGCAACTATTCATGTGCAGATTTTTACCACCATGACCACTTCTAAAAGCAGAAGTTGTCATGTTGGTTGGAGTAACCCTTTAAATCCCTTGCAACCCATTTAAAGGGTTATTCTAACCAAAAGCAGTGTTATAATAAATAACTGATTTCAAGTTGAGTAAACCTTGCTGACATGGATCCTCCTAAAAAGTTCACCCTGCACCTTGAGAAACTATATGGTTTCCCGAATAACCTTTCCAATTGGTCATTCAACTCTTGTATTCATGCATTACTACGCATGACGGAATAAGGTCACAAGTTAGTGCATTCATTAATTCTGGTTGCATATTATCAAACTATGGCTTGTCAATAGAATAGAGTATATTTTGGAAACCAGAGAAGTTAATAAACTAACAAAAAAAAAAAAATTTACTGTCCCTGTATATAAAAAATGCTAGCACCTAGACCTATATTTGAAAGTCATATGCTTTTTAATTTAGGTTATTTCCAATTGTATCTCGTTTCATAGAGTGTTGTTATACTATGTAACATTAAAGGATATCTCCCCATGGGCGACTGTATCTGGCAATAGATGTGTTGTATGTAACAGATCGCCTGGCACCTCGACTGGGTACCTTCCATTGACGGATGCTCCTAGTGCTTCCCGAGGGCTCCAAGCACTCCACTAGACTCCATAACCACCGCAGACCCCACGAACTGCCGCAGCTTGGTTGGGGTCTCACCGTCTTCCTCCTACTCTGGGCCCAAGACCAGGGACCAGCCTCCAGTAGGTGGACCTCTCCTAAATTCAGAGAGCAGGAACAGGAACAGGAACAAGAACAAGCTCTTACAAGAGCTTACTCTGGGGAGTATAGTGATTATAGCAATCCCCAGAGTGTAGGTAGTTCTCCAATCCCGCAAACATGAGCCAAAACTTCATGAATGGTAGAACAAGTCTGAGGCTCTATTGATACAGGTTTGCTTATATACATTTCCTCAGGCCAGAGGCACACCCCCTGGACCTGATGGAACACAGGCACACAAAGATCACAAACCAATCAGAACAATACAACAATGTCCGACACTCCCACATACAGTAAACAATCCCTCCCCTCTGCCTGTGATATAACTAAAGTAGCTGATACATCAATTTAATTATCCACAGGCAGAAAAAAACACACATTTTTATAAAGTCCCATAAGTACCCCAAAACATAAAATTTCGCCATACATCTTACATCCCCTGATAGCCCTGATCCAAAAATCACCCAGATCAGGGGTTCAGAAATTTTATGTAAGTCCTATTTCTGCCCAGGCGAACCCAGGATTTCATGCCCAAAACAGTACCATAGATTCGCGGCTAAGTGCAGCTGGAGGATCGACCGGGAACTGCAAGGTTTTCATACAGAAAATAGTTCCAGGGCATTCTCGGCTAAGTCCCCCTGAAGTCTATTCGCGGTTTTAGCCCATGGCAAGATGGGGGCCACCACGTGTCCGAATGTCGAATGGCAGCCACTTCAACTGTTCGGGATTTCGAAAAAACAATGTTTAAAGTCCGAATATGCACAATTAGGGTTCTTAAAGGGCAATACATCCCGGGAGCCATAGTCACAGGGCAAGAGGCTGGCAAGCAGGCCTCTCCAAATCCCAGTGACGAAGGTGCTTTCGTCACATTGTAATACACACTTACTCTACAGTAGCTATGTGATGTCATACTGATGGCTTGGTTGATATTAAAGGGAAACGATAGTGTTAGGAATACAATTGTAAGTTGTATTCCTAGCATTAGTACCCTATAGTGCCCCACTTGTCGCCCCTTCCCCCCGCAGCTCCGAATCGGTTAAAAACCCTCCTGTCACCTACCTCAATCCAGCGCCAATGTCCCTTGGATCTGGGCCTGGCTCTGTCTACGCTCCTTCTTCCCTAAAATCAACAGCGCTCGGATTAGGACTATCCCATAGAAAAGCATGAATTCAGTGCTGTTTTATGGGGTTTTAGCT